TAGATACAGTATAGTCGCCTTTCTCAACTGCCGCCCCCATTATCTAAGTGTCTTCCCTAAGAGAAGTTAGACTCTGAACCTTGGATATATCATGTCGAGCGTAAGAACATACCTCCCTGAGCTGCCAGATGATACTCGTTATCAATGGATCGTTGAGGTGACTGTCCACGAGCTGAAAAAGCGGATAATATCCGGTTTTCCTTATACATGAGGTGAAGAACATGCTTAATCATAATATGCTTCATCTTTAAGATTAAGGAGCAAGTAGTGCTAGAAGTGCTGAGAAGCATGTAATGCTAAGGTTCTGCGATGGGGAGTATACTCGAAGCAGCTACAGACTGGACGATGAATTTTCATGCATCCGAACTTTGCGTGTGAGTGCATTAAGAACGAATCCTGCGTGCGCGGGTAAAGCGAATCTTCCAGTATCTTCCGTTTCATAGTACAAGTATCTTTTGCACTACATTACACGCGTTGTGTACACTCCTCCTAGGAGCTAACGAAAACAGCCTAGGTAGTTGGCTGATGTTCAGAACCTGTGCTCACCATGTGGGAGACCTGAAGCGATCTCTGTACTACTCAGGTCTACTGCTTATTTGTTGGGCTGACTCCTAGTTCGAGAGTCACAGGTCGGTGTGAGATTGCTGATGTTGCCATGTAGCCCGACAATGAGCTCCTCTATTCTCGCTGGTGGTTTTGATCGAGCTGCGAACAACAACGAGGAGTTCCACCTGATAATCCAGTCGGCGTCTGGCTTTCGTCTGTCTCTTTTAAGTTTGGGACCCAAACTTTCGAGTCGTATTGGTGTGTCAAGGACGGCAAGCGGCTGAACGTATTACACGTTAGGCAGCATTCTGTGACTCAAAAGCTCATCACAAGGCCATCTCGCATGTGGCATTGACTTGGTTCATGGTAGCTTCCTTCGCTCGGCATGTTTGCTCCGCTCTCCATTCTGGTGGTATTGGCCTCCGTGGACGGTCTCCGATCTCTTCAAGATTGCTCATACGGGACTAGTTACTGTCAACAGGTTGGGAACTTATCTCTTTTCAAGCATCTCAGATCTCCTGTCAGATGTATGATATGTACAAGGACCCCTCCTACATCAGCGGCGCGGAAGCTCAAGAGGCCAAAGGAACCTACTGCAAAGATTGGCAGTTTGTCGGCAACGAGCTCGGCAGTGTTTGCTATGGTCTAGCGTGGACCAATGGGTTGGACTCTTCTATCTGCTACCATAGTAAGATGTGATTCTCTCCAACGCTGTGTATATGTCTCTCAGGCGACACTTCCCAAGATTGCGATGGTCTTCCTGTGAGCTGCTCGTGCGCAGAGCCCAGCACAACTACTACTTCGCTTCCTTCTGTCTCCCCCAGCACTACAGCGGAACCCTGACTCAGAGTCCCTGAGTGTTTGCGTTGACACTTTGTTCGGTCACCGCAAGTATATCATCATCGTATATCCGACATGAACCATGTCATTCTCGTTGGGGTAAAACCCCTTTAAAAGTATTGGTGTTATATACAAGTCTTCTATATACTGCTCATTCATCACCCAATTCATCCTTTTCAACTGGGATCTTGAGTTTGTGACAAGTACAGCTGTGCAACACCTCCGGTGGGGTCATCTGTCATTTTTCAGATCCTCTGAGAGGTCTTAAGACGGGAGTATGAGAGTGGGAAATAAGACAATCATCGTAATAG